CGGAGAACGACTGTGGCACTGCTTTTTTCCTCCTGGATTTGGTGGCAGCGGAGTCCGGCTACTGTTGGACGGTGGAGGAGGGGGAGCAGAGAAACTCGGTCGGGAGCCCGACACAGGGCCTCCAGGGACGGGAGGCGGAGGTCCAGATCTTCCCGGTAGGCTTGGTGGTGGGGGTGCAGAAGAGGGGCTGGGTCTTCCTCCTCCGGGGAGCGGTGGTGGCCCCCCGCGAGACTGGAAGGCCTGGTTTGGCCGCGGTGTGTTGGGTAAGGCGGGAGGTGAACATCCAGAGTTGTCCAGTCTGGATGATACACTCCGCCGTGCCTTGGGGTGGTCAGGAGGATTGCCCGGAGGGGCTCCTGTGAATTTAGGTGGGCAGCTGGGGCTACGGATGCCCCCACTTGGGGCGCTAGGGCTGTTGAATCTGCCTGTCGGTGGGAGCACGGGTCCTCTGCTGGGTCCTGGTGAGTCTGTAGGTACAAGACAAGTCAGGTAAGTAATTATTAAAAAATAATATGGTCAGGTGACTTGAGTGCTGATCGTTCATTTTTTTTGGGTGTGGTTAAAATCGATTGACATTTGTCAACTGTTATCATCATCTTTTTTTTTAACGCTAAAATGAATGAATTTACTATTATACCAGTGGCGTCTCTGTTCGTCGCAGACCGCAGTTTCGGCATCCCTCCTGCAAACAGGCCTCCCAAACCTGCACCCCCTCCAACACTCCCTCCTCCACCACCTCCTCCTCTACCTCCTCCGCCCCCTCCTCCTCCTCCAGCTCCTCCTCTACCTCCTCCTTTGGGTTCTGAAAAAAAAGCAAGCAAAATTCCAAAATTCATTTTTGACCATTTTTAGCCACCTTTCATTATTAGGGTTAAAAAAGTGTCACTCACCCACTAGTAATGGTCCACTTCGGTCATTGGTGACCGTTTTCTTTAATCTGGCGCCTTTACTTATGTCGGACAACAAGGCACTTCTTCCCTGCTGTTCGTTTCGATTTAGAGCGGGCTTCTCTGTGTTGGCCTGATGCCCCCCCCATCCAACACACAAGTTTGGAAAAAAAAAAAAAAAAAAAAAAACCCGGTTAAAATGAACAAGTGGAATTCTCTATGGAGAGAAGTCAGAGCAACATTCACTAAAAAGACAGACTGTGACTACAGACGAAGAACAAACATCTTCACGCAGCACTTGCTGAACAAAGCTACAAACTTACAAGAGCAAATGTGGGAGGAGGGGCAGGAGGAGGAGGTGGCGGCGGTACTGGCATCTCGCGTTCTCCAACTCAGTCTCTCCCCACTGCAGAAATCTGATGGGTAGACGACAGAAAAAAAATCTAAATAAATAAATCGGGGATATTTGATATCGTAGTCCGGCAAATGTTATCAACCTCATTTTTATTCCGATGGTAAAAATAAATAAAGTATTGCCTGGGGTTTTTCCAAAATAAATGCGAATAGGTCCAATTCATCAAAACAATGTCGTGAGACATAACGAAACAAAAGCTAGCGGTCATTGTCCAATTTGAAATAGTTCCTCGGAAAGAATCACTCCAAGGCGCACGTGCCATTTGTGCAGCAACGTCGGAGTTTCTTCGCTACAGTGGAAAAAAAAAAAAAAAAAAAAAACACAAGAAAGAAAGCGAAAGTGGCACAATCACTTCCGCGTATAGCACTGAATAACGATGTATTGCTTACCAACTACTTCCTGTGCAAAATCTCGTTCATTGCCATACATCGGAATGATGCAACAACATTTTCTTAGTTTCTTCTTAGGAAGATGGCGACTTAACTACCGACCGTCTTAAGTCGAGGACGTCGTAAACCGAGGGCACCCTGTACTTGATAAAATGGTCTGTGTCGTACGGACAAAGTTAGAGATCGGTTTTCCGAAACTCCATAGAAGCATTTCTAGGTGCGATACAAGTCTCGCTAGTGATCGCTACTGAGATTCCCAGTCCAGTCTCATCAGAGAATTCCATGTCCCAGCAGATATCACTAAAGTGAGCACAGTGACCAAATCTCTGACACGTCTCTCTGCTTTGTATTATTATAATATCTTTAAAGCTTTAAGAAATCAAGCTTTAAGTTACATTTATTTTTTGTTAATACGGTACATTTGGTCATGTGGCGCTTTGGTCCAGAGGCAATGTTTCTGTCATTGGTGTGCAACCCCAGGGTTCACCTCCTGGGTAAGATCGGAATCCCGGTTAGGGCGGTTGGTACCTTCCAGTGGACTCACCACCCGCAGGAAGGTTGATAAGGGATAAGCGGATGAAAATGGATGGATAGATGGACGGTACATTTGGAATTTCTGTCTTATTTGGCACGTTTTAACAACATTGATCAGTCAAAATCCATTTGACAATTGTTAGTCAGCTTGAGGTGAGCCGACGACAAAGTCCCACTTCAGACTTCAGGGGTTTCTCACATGAGTACACCATTTGGGACTATTTTTTTACTCCGTAAAGTACTTCCTCCTCGATACCAAAGTGCACTGAGCAAATCATCAATATTACCAAATGGTACACACCGACACAGTGTTGCTTGTTCTTTCACAACGAAGCGAAAACAGTCATTACAAGCGTTGGTTTCCTGTTTGCGATGATAAAACACACAGACTTTTTCTACTAGAAAATTGCAAACATATTTCTGAGATAAGTCTCAGATCATGGCTGCATGATGCGTAAAAAACCTTTCACTTGGCAGCTTTGTTGTCAGTAAAGAACCTTTAAGGGCTAGGTCACTACGACTTCCCAGAGTAGCACTACTTCTGGTACAATGTAAAACGTACGTGCAACGTTACTTACTGCGTCCAAGGAAGACTCAGTCGGATATACGGCAGTTAGTAGACCAAGAAATGTATTTCCTTCGACATGAACGTGCAAAACGTGAGGACCAGATGGATGTAGCTGAAAATGGGGAGAAAAAAAAAAACTCAACATTTAAATGTGTTTAAAAATATTTCCAAGAACCGTGTGACACGTAGAACTTCTCTATTTGACTTCCTCTAAACTTACAGCTCAGCTCGCACACGGAAACCAACAACCGCTTTCTTCTTCCTTTTGCTATTTTTTTCCCCCCGTCTCACATTGGCTGGCGTTGAGACTTAAAGCAAACTTGTTTCGAAATCGCTTTTTGTCTATTTATCGACGGATTGCCAGTGATAACCCATTTAACGTTTCAACAGAAAGTGAAACTTTTTTTTTTTTTTTTTTTAACGCGTTGGACTCAAAATGACCTCAACTAAACGGTACTTTATCGTAACTTCTTTAATACAGGAGGTGATAGCACCATGGGCAATAGGGCCGGGCATTATGGTCCAAACCTCATACAGTATCTCGATATATTTCTGCTAAATCGCAATTTGCAATATAACGTTTTTGCCATTTTGTCGCCCTCATTCAAGGGCAATATTGGCATATTTTTTATATAAAGCACAGTCTCATTAGCCATCTTAAATATATATAGTTACCTACTAACTACTCTATGTAATACTTTTAGAGAATACCTGAAACTGTTTGTAGACATTTTGACTATATAACTATATGAACGCTAAGATAAAGAAAAGCATTAGACTCACAGTCATGTGTCAGAAGGGAGAAAAGACAAAGGTGGCAGCTTCATGTTATTCACACAGGAAATAGACACAGAGAAGGGGGGGGGGTTGGAAAGGAAAGGAGAACGAGATGCTGACAGAGAGTGAGGGATAGATACAGAGAGGGAGAGAGACAGAATGTATTTGTTTGAAAACGTACTTCCGTCACATTTCATCACCCACTTCAAATGGTGCCAGCTAATCATTTTTACAGAGAATAACATTTCATAACATTTCATACTGCATTTAGATTCAATATTTCTGTTTAAAATCTGTATTTAGATTCAATATTTCTGTTTAAAATATTCAAAATATTTGATGTGATAATGTGCACAAATACATACGTAAAATACAAAAACAATGCATCTGTGGGACGTTTTCATACTTGGTTGGCTAAAATGGCGCCGACCCTTGGTAGAAGAAGTCATGTGGTGCAGCTTGCAACATTCCCGAATTCAAGAAACATTTGGAAACCAAATGTTCACATGCATTCTTCCCTGTCCAGCTGAGCTACTTCCAAGGTTCCAGACTGAAGTTATTGTGTCCGTATGTGCTCACGGTAGCGCCGCTTTTAAAAGGGATCAAATTAGGTTTCGATATTTATGCAAATTAAACAAACGCGTATATTTTTATATATTTTATTTTTATATTTTTTGACGGCAAAGGAAACTTAACATCAGACTTTTTTTGGCCTGATTTAATTGGGTGTTGATGGAACTGCAGATGACATTAAAGGTGACACAGTGTTGGACAATTGGAAGACAAGGTCCATCGCCATATTCACAGATGGGGATGCTAGCAATGACGTTGTGCCCGGTCACATTGTCGCCAAAACCACAGCAGCTGTGGCGGCACAAAATCAGCTGATCACAACTTCCCCCCCAATGTGAGATCCTATTGAACTGTTCAAGAAGACCACAGAGATATTTGACCCAAGGTCAATAGTTGACCAGTTGATAGTCGGCTGATAAAAGGATCAGTCAGAGGCAGAGACCTGCATTTGCAGGCTCTTTCGTCAGCCTCTGCTAACCACTGCATTTGTCATACTATTCGTCAGCTAAATGAGTTCAGAGGAACTTGAAAGAGGAAACAAGTAGTGCAGTGTGCACCTGTATGTTCTCTCGCCCCCTCAACTGATGAAGCAGTTTAGAGAAAGAAAAAGGGTCAAGTGCTGTTTTAAGGTCACGCGTGGATCTGTTTGACCTTTTGATGAGGCTGCAGGTTTGTGGGAAGCAGTCGTTTTTAATGGTGGATAACGTCTAGAAGCAGCGTGACTACTAACATTAAGGCATTACATCAGGCATAGGAGGATGGTAGCCAGTTTAGTGAGAGATTAAACGGCCACAGCTGGTGTTCTCGGAGCTGGAGTGTGCTGTGACTGCTGGTCTGTGTTAGCAGCGCAGCTGTGTCTGACTGAGCCGAGAAAAGGAAGTATTTAATTCCTCAGCCAGCAAAGCGGCAGCAGTGGCTGTGATGAGTGTGAGCCTTTGTAGTTAGTGATCCGCTGTGGTTATAGGGGGCAGCGGTGGCATTATGGTTAAGGTCTCGGGTTTAGAAGGTTTCAGGTTTGAGTCCACCAGCTGCAAAGTTACCACCGAGGTGCTCTGAGCATGGCACCGTCTCCACATACTGCTCCCCGGGAGCTTATAGCTGCGCACTGCTCACTTTGGTGATGGGTTAAAATGCAGAGGTCACATTTGGTTGGTCACAATGACAAGTAGTTCACTTTTTTTTTGTCCTTTAGTCTTCTCCCATATGGCTGTGGTATAGATGTTACATGTCTACTCACACATTCAAATGCACACTTTAATATCTGAACAGTTTCAAAGGTCTCTGCCTGCAGCTGCTATTATTTTATATTGGACAGCTAAAGCTAAGGAAGCTAGCCTAATCATTGCTGATCAGAATCCTCTAAAAAAAAGTCAAATACCTTTAATTATATTTATATTAATTATATGTTTTATATTTTAGAATGTGATTCATCGCTTTTGTCACATGAAATACAAACATTTCCTTTAACACTCATTTAAAGTTCATTTATTTTGGTGAAATTTCGGGAGTTTTCAGTGCTAATTTTAAAAGAGGTAATGCTAAAGAAGGTAACGCTAACAGCAACTAATAAATGCTAATAGAAGCAAGAGACAGCTGTGAATGCACACAAAATAACTTTACCAGCTTGAACTACAGTTTTAATAGAATTGCTTTAAATATATATACGTTGAATTATTCATTATTAACATATAATTACACGTTAATATTTTGTGTTCAAAGAGTGCTTCCAATGTGAAACAGGAAATACCACTGTTTAAAGGCAAACACATTGGTGGGAGATTCCCTTGTGTCTGAATACAGCATTATTATTATTTTCATATTAAACACATGAAAATTAGGGGCTGTACGGTTCGGTAACTACCTCGGTATTGAGTAATGTGAAGAATCACAAAAAAAATGTACAACTTCGCTCAAATGTAATGAAAATCGAGTAGACGTCACTGCTGACGTCATTTATAGTTCAGTCATTACAGAAAATTATCTTATGTAATAATCTGTGTTCACTGCGGCTTTCACTTCGAGAAGTAACTAACGTACGTCAAATACGTGTCCTGCAACACTTTTTTAACTCATTTTATATTACGTTCGAGTAGTTCAGTGACCTAATTTAAAGCGGGCTGATGGGATACTATAAATAGCGGAGCTGAATAACCGGAATAAAACCAAAGATGAAGCAGACACGAAATATAATAGTTTATAATAAAATCGCATTTATTTCAAACAAACATCAAACATCGCTGCCACCCAAATAAGACCACGAGAATTTAACAGGAAGCGCAAACTGACGGGTGGTCCACAGACCCCGTCGCGTGTACCACCGTCCGATAATACGCGAGACCCTTTTAAAAGCTAGCAATAACAAGGCATTTCATTTCACTTCTTTCTTTCTTTCTTTCTTTCTCCCTTCCTGTGTAACCAGTCTGTGTTAGATGTCAAGGAGTATGCTACATTTAAAAAAAAAAAAAACTCTTTTCAGTGTCCGACATCAGCAGTTTTCCACACAAACACATAGCGGATGTTGATTAGTTTACTTCACTTACCCCTGAAAGTCTCAGTCACAGCTTGCTCTTCTCTAGATGTTAAAATGAGCCGGAAGATGCTACGATACGCTTCAAAGACACCGCTGACAGACACCACAGTCAACTCTGTCTAACTGGGAAATCACGTGATGGCGGACGGAGGAGGAGGAGGAGGAGGGGTTTTCATACACTCTTGAGAGTGGTGTTCGATTCAGCAAGATTTGGTATTGATCAGATGCCAAGTAAAATCGGCGCATATTGCCGATACCGATAACTTAGTAATTCAGGTAGAGGTCTAATTAAAACACAAAATTTAAATATAGTTTTTCTTTTCCTTGCACTTTGTCCTGTCTTTTCTAACTCTTGCATTAAAAGTGCTACATTTTCATGTAGTCAATTTAACTGTTTAGTTATCTAAACTGAATGCCCTTCTTCCTTACTATTCAGTCCCGACTTATTATACTTCTTCTCTAAGATACTTAAAACAAACTGGGATCTCAGGAGAGTTGTTATATTTATCTTTTTTCTTTTTCGCACTTTCATGCTGGAGCTCATACGTGAAGCTCAGAATAGACAGGAAGTGAGCATAATCTTCAATCAGAAATTCAGTTTAGCACTGCATTATGTCCAGCACATTAAAGTGCGTTATTGTTGTTGCAAATTTCTAGTTCGAATTGACACCTTTTCCGTCGTTGACATAGCCTGAATGAAAAAAACAAAACAACATATTTATTTGTATTGGTAGGATTTATAAAAGCATTTCATAATTCAATAATTTCAATTCAGATAAATATCGTATAGTTATTGTTTTGTTCTACACTGTATCTTTTCGTGAAACTCTCGGTCCGTGTGGTTATTTCCATCATCCATGACTGACTGCCAAAGAAGATAAATGTGGTCCTCCTTAGATATTTCTGTTTGTCAGACACTGGTTGACGACCTCAAGCAGGGAAGAGTTCTCCAGAGCCGCTGCCACTCTCTCTTTATCCGCCAGCTGCTTGTTCACTAAACAGAACCCAACAAAAAAAAAAATTGGAATAAAAATTAGAGTTAAATTTCACAGTGCTGTTTACACGTAGTTAACATTTTTATTTTTACCTGCGTCCTCTGAGGCATGAGTCCCAGGAGTGATATGGACATCAATCTGAGGGTCATAACAAGAAACGTGGCAGCTTTAGACTGGACCTCAACGAAACATTTTATTGTGTCTTTACGTGCCGCTTCACACAGTAGGCACTGACACGGGACAAGGGATGGAACTGCTATTCCATTATGTTAGAAAACATAGTACACATGGTTGTTGTTCATTTAGTCTTTAGTGTAAAATATGCATTTATATTGAATAATAATAATATGAACTTTACTGATTCCACGCTGAGGAAACTGTTGTGGTTCCTCTGGGGCTCGGACCCCGGACCTTTTGTGTGTAAGGCAGCTGTATAAGATTGGCGTGATAACGGATACACTGTAGAACCAGTAATGCACCTAACTGGACATTACTCATACACTAGTGAAACTGAGTTGAAGAATGACGCTGACGTCTAGATAGATCTGGACCTGGATGGCTTGACCATCACCCAGGATATTTAAGACAAGTACTGCAAGTGAAGAGAAAGTACACGTGTATGTCTGAAACAAAAACTCATACGTACTTTGAATCTGTTGGGCAGCGAGCGCAGCAGCTTGACTTTGATTGATAGACCTATGAGTGTCGCCATGCTGCAGTGAGGGATGGTGGGTGTAAACTCAATGCCCACAATGCTCTCAGCATCATTGATCTGTGACAAAAAAAAAAAAAAACATAAAAAAAAACATATTTATATATAAATATTTTTTCGTATTATTCAGTTTTATGGATGCTGATATGTGTGTTATATACAGTGGTATGAAGTTTAGCCCACCCTGATCATTTTCAAGATTTTCCTTGAAAATGGATGGATCACTGGTTGTTCAGAACAGCAATTTCAATTAAATATATCATAAAAAACGCAGTGATATTTTAGAAGTGAAATGAAGTTTATAGGATTTACAGAAAGTGTCCAATAATTCTTCACCTGTGTATGTAGGTCAAGGGTCAATGAGCTTACCAAAAAAATTGTGTGTTACAATAATATATATATATATATATAGGCTGTATAATACCTGGACTCTGATTTGCTCCACCACATTTAGTTCTTCCAGAGAAAGTGGATGCTCTGGGTCGTTGATGGTCCTGATCAAATGTGTTTTAAATTAAAGAATTCAACACGCTGACATTGGTAATACAATGCAAACATTTTTTAAAAATTTAATTTTAGGTATATTTTGCTTCAACAATAACACTGACAGTAACGGTGTTGTCTAATTTTTCTAGCGTCATCGATATGGCTCCAGTTGATCACTCAGTAGTTACATGCCCGTAAAATAATATGTATTATTTTCTTCGAAAATGGCGCATCAGCCTGCGGTGTTTAGCCTCACAGATCAGTCGGCACACTAATTATAGTAATAATAATACAATAAATATTAAGCAATAAAATAGCATTGTTGGTCCAGTCTGACATAGGGCATTAAAGCTAAAACATTTGTAAGTGGAAAAGAACTATGCAAGCAACTTAAAGTGGCGTAAGAGTAAACAAATAAAGAGGATATCAAATATTTCTCTGTCGTCGATGGGGTCGTCAACGTTTTCCTCCTCCTCTGCGGCAGTGAGCCGCCTTTCTCCTGACCGTTGAAAGATCACCGGGTTGGCGTTTTCGAGACGAGACCCCGCAGACATGTTAAGTTTCGACCCTTACTAAAGATAAAGACTGAAAATGTCACTGTCCAAACGTGCGGTTCACCCTGCGACCGCTATTGTCAAACACTTCCTGGAATAACGGAAAGCGAACAAGACCAAAAAGGCCAAGAAATTGAGCTCTTTTAATAAGACTTTAAACACGGCAATGTCATTTTCAGAACGAAAATCGTATTTTACACAATATATTTGTCATACGTTTACGAAAAAAAAAGTCGTCAGTTAATGAGAAAAAAGTAATAGTTTGTACTGTGATGGTAACGTGATGCGTATTAGACAAAAAATAAAGTAGCTCCTTTTTTGTGAACCCATGTTAAAGTATAACCTCCCATGATGCTCCACGTTTCTCATTCTGACGCACTTACGTTAATGCTGTGTGCTGACGATTTTATCCTCACCACTGGTAGACTTTATTTACGTTAACTTACGACATTTGTTCTTATAAAATAACAACAATATTCTCGTAAATGTAAGACTTTACTCTCGTGAATGTACATCGTAATTCTCGCCATTTGAGATACTTTTTTTAATCCCCAATGTGGTCATAATGCTCGTACGGACTTAAAATGTTGTCCGGTTGTAACCTTTACTTTTGACCGCTAGACGGCACTCACAACTAAGTTTTGCTTTTCTGGAGTACAGTACCTGCATGGTAATTAATGAGAATGGAGCGCAGAGGTATTCGAAGACTTTAATTTTGTGAATTTTGTGAAATTAAAATTACCATAAACCATAGCTAACGATTGTTCTGATTATATTTAAGGACATTATTGTTTTATTGCTGTGCTCATTTGTACGCAAACATATTTTACTTTAAAAATATGACTTGCTATCATTGTTATAAAATGTATTGTTAGTTTTTTTTAATACTTATACACACATAATACACATAATAATCACTTAAGTACAAAAACAGATTGTAATATAAATCTAAATACACACCAAATACAGTTTTGAAGCCAATGAGCAAAAAATCTAAACATTACACAAAACATTATACCCACTTTTTATTGTTATTTTGGAATCAACAGATGCAAACATATGTCACGTCACTACAGAAACATTTATATAAACAGTTTACTGTTAGTCTTAATGTGAACCACGTTGGATTTTGTATTAGTTTTGCAACTCAGTCTGTGCGTAATCTGATAAATCACGGATTCAAATGTCGTCCAAAGGTGATTGCCTTCATCGTTCACGTTAAGAACAGAGCCAGGACGACAACATCATCATCGTTGTCCTCTTCAGTTGTGGTCAGACAACGTACGTGGGATCATCGTTGTCCTCTTCAGTTGTGGTCAAGAGTTACGGTGCTAAGTTCTAACACAGTGTCGTTGTGTGTGTGTTATCATTGGGTTAATGAATAACAAAGCTCTGTCTGCTCTGCTGCAGGCTGCCTGACTTTTGACTTCTTCCTGGCGCTTTTGCTTTTTTATTTGCATTAGGGCTCAGGACATAACTGTCTCTAATCGACCGCGCCACAGACTCGGGTTCTGCTGCCCTAAATCACACACACACACAAAAAGCCACTTTATTATCTTAAAGAAACAATGGCCGTTTTTTTAGCCTTTCTGACTCCTCACTCATTGTCTCTGCAGTGGATTTAGCTGCCTGTGTTGACTTAGGGTGAAAGACTGTAATTCCGAAGCAGAACCACACCTACACCCCTAGAGTGGTAACAATAGAGTTGTCGTTAAGCAAATGCACAGGGGCTGAGAAGAGGTTAAGGTGCGGGGTGTGGTCGGGTGCTCTCTCAGAGGTAAACAGTTTAAGACACGACAGATCTCGTCCTAGGGCAGTCTTTCACTGTTTTGGGGTCGGCATGTCAGTGCTTGTCCTTCCATTTCCATGTAAGCATGAGGTGGCCTTTCACAAGCCTCTTCTGTTTCTTAACCACTAAGCCGCCACTGCTTAATAAATAGTAATATATAGTAAAAGTATAGATATGGTCATAGTAGGAGTAAGAAGACGTGCATGTTAGATGTTAGTGGGTTTGTTAGGATTTGTTAGGACACACATGTCAAACTCAAGCCCGGGGGCCAAATTTGGCCCGCGGTGTAATTAAATTCTGGAGGCAAAATTTGGCCCGCGGTGTAATTAAATTTAGACTAGTTCCATTTTTTTAATTTTGACCCATTGTGAATTTGAGTTTGACACCCAGGGATAGGAGGTATAGGAATACGACCAGCATGTAAACAGGTTAAAAAAAAAATGTAACAATACATATTCAGTATTGCAACTTTAAACGACACAGTAACTGCAGTATTTTTGTTGCGAACTCCGACCTCGTGTGCAGATGGCATCACGTGTGCGAATGAGCAGATATTTGCATTACAAACAGGGACTCGTCAAAAGGCAGATCTGCATTGTGATGTATAATCGCGTGACACTTCGGGCGGCTACGTCACATGCGATCCCGTGAAACATAAGCGACGTCTCTTCTCTCCAGTTATTGGCCTTTTCTGTATAAGTTCCTCCTCGATCCCCAGTGAGTGTTGTTGTGACAGAGTTCAGTCACGACACTGAGAGAAAACCTCCTGATCTGTGCTCTTCCCTTTTCTTGTCGGTAACAGGAACTAAAGAAATTGTTCATGAATAGGAATAGCATAAATCATATTATTAATAATAATCTATGTCACAACTGTACAGAGTCTAGTGTGCTGTCCAAAAAAAAAAAAAAAACAGAAAAGTACCTCTATGTGGGTCGAAGAGTTCTGTTAGCCCATATGTATGTATGTAATATGTAGAAAATATTAGTAATATAAGTTAAAAATCCCCCAGTGTTGTCATTTGGTTCCTGTTCATTTCCTGGAATCAACAAACATCATTCCTAGAAATGGTACAATTTTCAGAAACGGGACGTTTGGTTTTTGTTTTATTTTTAGTCATTAGTGATTACAACAACCTTAAATCCAGCACCAGTCAACCATGTCCTTTAATAAGTCAAGGGTTTTCAGACATTTTAAGGAAAGGAGATATGACTACACCAGGGGTGGGCAAACTTTTTGATTCGTGGGCCACAATTGTCCAAAAATTGAACGGGGGGGGGCGTCAGGTCAGGAGCAGATAGATGGAGCGATCGTGCGAACTAAGATAATTGACTACTTTTTCTACGCCATCTATTGGGGAAACATGGGTATTGTAGGGAAGAGGCTGAAGTATAATGAAAATGTAAATAAATTATTTTATTTGGAAAAGTTTGGCGGGCCGGATTAAAAAGTCGAACGGGCCGCATCTGGCCCCCGGGCCTTAGTTTGGCCATGCCTGGAAAAATGCTATTTTTTAAAAAAAAAATTAATTTAATTCCTGCACTGCTCAGTTGTTCAAAAAATGTTCAAACTAATTAAACGAAATAATCTTATTAATTTAACAGAATTTTGCAAGAAGTAACAGACGTTTGTGCGATCTTTAAGCCGTACTTAATCAGAACAAGTCCAGTCAGCGCTCAGATGATGAATCTTGTGCATGTAATCACAAGTAATCTCAAGTATGCGTTCTTACACTCACTTTTATTTCTTTATTTTTTTCATTCATTACTAGTTTCAATTCGTTTTCTCTCTGTTGCAACATCACTTCGCAGCTCACTAGTTGACTCAAAAAAGCCTCCCTTTTTTGTAGAAAAAAAAAAAGCTCACACAGTCATAACATTTCTTGTCCGACACGAAATCACGAGCCTTACTGTTGTATCTGTAATTGTTACCATGTGATCGCTTTGTTTGTGAGCATGAGAAGCTCTTATCAGAATGCAGAGAGGATTTGCCTCCATAAAGCTGCTTATGTATGACCCGATGGTGGGCTTTTAACAGGAAGTCTAGTGTAACAGGATGATGGTAGTGCTTTTATGCTGCTGTCAGCTGCACATGCACTAACAAACACCACTGGGCATTCTCCACAGCCAACTCTGTAATGTACACGCACACACACACACACACACACATATGAATAAACTCCTGTAATCTCCGTTTATAATTACTAAACAGGATCTGAGAGTAGAGAACGTCAGCTGATTCTCCCACTGCGGCACACTGTTCTGGACTAACGCTGGTCTGGTACGGCGGCCCCCAAAAGAAGCAGGCTGGAGAGAGACAAACCTACTGAAGCTGTGAAACTGAAATAAACCACTACGGGGACAAGACAGGTCAATTTATATAGACCGAATTCACAAAACACAACGGACTTAAGGGGTTGAATCAGAATCACAATTAAACTTAAGATATTCCCCTAAAACCTCATTTGGAGGAATGTACTGTATGAGCCGCCAATGTTTACACTAGTTTTGGATGATCAATAGATAAATGGATAGATGGATGATAGAGAGAGAGAGAGATGGATGGGTGGATGATAGAGAGAGAGATGGATGGATGGATGGATGGATGGATGGGTGATAGAGAGAGAGAGAGAGAGAGAGAGATGGGTGGATGGATGGATGGATGATAGACAGAGAGAGAGAGATGGATGGATGGGTGATAGAGAGAGAGAGAGAGAGAGAGAGAGAGATGGGTGGATGGATGGATGGATGATAGACAGAGAGAGAGAGATGGATGGATGGATGATAGGCAGAGAGAGAGAGATGGAAGGATGGATGAGAGAGAGAGAGAGAGAGATGGATGGATGGATGAGAGAGAGAGAGAGAGAGATGGATGGAAGGATGGATGGATGGATGGATGATAGACAGAGAGAGAGAGATGGATGGATGGATGATAGGCAGAGAGAGAGAGATGGAAGGATGGATGAGAGAGAGAGAGAGAGAGGGAGGGATGGATGGATGGATGGATGAGAGAAAGAGAGAGAGAGAGATGGGTGGATGGATGATAGGCAGAGAGAGAGGGGTGGATGGGTGATAGAGAGAGAGATGGATGGATAGAGAGGGAGAGATGATAGATAGATAGATTTAAAATAAGACAAACAGTAAGTATTGAGGTACAGCAAAATCTTTTGGTGCCAGTTGTCATTTCTCTTACGACACGAGACATCATGATTTAATCATAAAGCAAAGCCTGTTCCAACTCAACATTGATTTGGACATACTGCTCTCCCCTCCCATGACTGGACAACTGGTATTTATCTCAAAGGCACTTGGACAATGCTCGGAAAGATCAATTTCTATAGTTAACTGAGTTCATTTTCCTAATTACGAACAATATCACAATAACATCCCATTTCAAAATAGCTGTCATTTAAATCATTTGTTCCTCGCTCTGGCTGCACATCGATACTTCGAAGCAGCTCTCGGGGCAGCTACCAAGGACCGGTCTCAGCCGTTACTGTGGATCGGTAATACCGCGGCATCGTTGAAGGACCATCAAAATTTTTAAAATAAAACATCTTTTAGACTTTCTTCTGTTAGCATCAGAGTCTGAATGACCTGTTGTTCTGAAACATCGACAGATTATCTTTGAATGAAAGAAGTAAAGGGATGTGACTAATAATAGTAAAACTGAAGTACATTTATTCACTGTGTCCCACTGCGGCCCGGGACCAAATGACCTACGGACCGGCACAAGTCCCCGTACCAGGGGTGTGGAACCCCTGCTTTAAAGGACATGTATTAAAAAAAATTTAACAACAAAAATATTAATATTTTCGTTACAATAATAATAATAATAAGTGCTGAATTTGGTAGAAGGTGTTGAGTCTTATTCTGTTTGAAGATGTGTCAGAGTCTGTAGAAAAGGAGGCTCGACTGTGGGACGGGGGGGGTTGTAGATGGGTTTTTTTTATATATTCAAAGTCTCTGATTCGTTCCATGCTGGAGGTGTTTACAGCAGATCTGCTGCAACAGGCCGCCACACTGGAGGCACCATTAAGTATGTGGTTCTTCTTCGTGATAGACGTTACATTATGGAACCACAAAATTAAAGCGTCTGCGAAGGCCGGGAATCAAACCAGGGTCAACGGCTTGAACTGCTTGGTGTTATGCCACCATCGCTGGATTCGTCTGCACAGAGAGTGAGAAGATGCCCAAACATAAACCGATGACCGAACTCATGCGAAAAAAAAAAAACCAAAACAAAAACAAGGTTAGCATATCAGCAGGGGCTTTTTGTACCGTCAGTCTGCACTGCATACTGTAACGGGGATCATGAGGCTGAAAGTGGCTTTTGTTTCATGGATGTGTTCCAGTCATACAAACAGTAATGCAACTGACCAGAATAATTGTATTACCGTAGTAAAGCCGATGAATCTGCGTCTGTCGCCGTAGCGGCAGGGTCACACGATCAACGCTGACGGATCCCAGTGTTTTGCAGCCGCGTCGTTCACGTGTGATGATCTTTTATTGCTTTAAGAGCGTAACATTCGTAATACCATTCTGTGTTTTACAGAAACAAACCGCACCCTGTCCAAGGCGCGGCCTGAAAATCGTTTTTCGGATTGGTGGATTTAAATTGAAACGTATGGAATGTATTTAATGCAAAAAAGCGACATTTTCCCCTGCATTTTGGATACTTTGCTCAAGGTAAAAATGCCACATTTAACATTTAATTTTAACAGTCCATTCGGTTCTTTTACTCGTGTCGAGTGTTTGTACTGTCTCGGTGACCTTTTGGTGACCCCTTCTATATCAAGAAGAATAAAAGGTTACGAAAGAGGAGGTTGAGGTGGGAGGAATGTCTGAGCAACAAGTTGAGCAGAGGTGCAGATGCAACAGGGAGGGGGAGGGGGGAGTGAGCAGATGAACCAAACCTGTTCTCCAACACTGTTGATTGTGCTGTCAACACCCTTCCTGTCCTCCTTGAACATCAGAGAACCCATCAAGTAAAGCGTCACCACGCCCGCCCCTCCCGCCTCCACTCAGGTGTCCTAAAACACCCTCTCCATCACAGTTGACCAGGCGTGAACCAAAATAAGCTCTGGTCCAAAAGATGTGCGTAACAACTCAGACTTTGGGTCCTCCCATTTTCGTACTATTGCGAAGTCACCGTTGTCGTCTGTGCTTCCCACACATCCGGAGGCCACAAGATGCTCCGTAAGAGAACAGCCGTGACTCCTTAGGGAGAAGCTGGACTTCCTCTCCCGCTCCTCCCCCCCCCCCCTCAATGAACTGTATTTGATACATTTCTCTTTTAAAGCAGTACTGATAATGACATTAGTCACCTCCAAATATTCCCGCTATAGCAGGGTGTGTATCAGAAGGGGGACACATGGAGTACGGGTTCATTGTTATGGACTTTGTACGTCGATGCAGACACAACGTATTTCACATTAACGCCACCAAGACTAGAGCGATGGTGATCATCGCTTACTGACTGACTTAGTCGCTGTTGTTTTTTTTTTGCTAACTGTCACGTTATAGTTTAGTGTTATTTTAACGAACAGCAAGGATTGTTATTTTTGGATTGATTTTTTTTTTCTTCCCAGGTGTCAACTCTGGTGCTATGAAAATCCCCTGTGTCGGATGAAATAGAGATATGATCTTTTATCATGAAAAATGATGGGAATTTTTTCATTGCCACATACTGTATGAGGAAGTGATTCACTTGGAGCTCATTGCCTCCTTTCTCTTCTGCTCTCTTGCTGTCTGCCCCCCCCGCCCCCCACCCTC